ACTTGAGAAGGTACACTATACTCATGGCAAGACCCTAACTTGTACAGTGAGATAAGACCTGAATCGTCACAGCATTCATTAAGGCATTTCTTGCCAGAAATCATGAAGTTTAAATAGATTATTTTTTTCTCCAAAAGTGGATTATAAGTGAATTTTGACTTCTTGTTTTCCTCGTTTGTTTTCATTTAGCAAAAGAATGTATTCAGAAAAGTCTCTTATTACTGAAATTTTTGCCCACAAGCAAGAGTTCAAAAGAAAACTGTGACAAATTGGTGCCTGTTGATGAAGCTGATCATCTCCAGCCACTTGACAGGCGTCCAAGGACGAGCTCTGTGGTGGAAGAGCATTTCCAGGCCTCAGCATCCCCTGGAGAAGCAGCAACCCCAACCACAGGTGACAAGAGTCCTGGCTTGGAGATCCAGCCAAAGCTACCACCCAGCAGTGGCCCCTCTGTTGCAGAAGTCTCCACAGCTGAAGAACCTTCATCACCATCCACACCCACCCGGCGACCTCCCTTCACCCGAGGGCGACTCCGGCTGCTCTCTTTCAGATCCATGGAGGAGACCAGACCAGTCCCCACAATCAAAGAGAAATACCCGGTGCTGAAGGATATCATGGACTTCATTAAAGATCAGTCACTCTCACATGAGAGGTAAGCTAGTCATTTTCTTCCAGCACTTTCCCTTTTCAAGCTCTAGGTACCCACTCTAGTCAAACAAAGACTTGAAGTTCATGCTTAAAATGAACAAGTAAGGGATAAGGGAAAAGATACAATCAAAATACAGTGTATAAAATTTTTAAATAAAATAAAATGAACCAATAATATTTAGGGTACATCCAAACTTGTTTAAGAATATTCAGGATAAATAGCTTAAGGAAATACTAAGATTGGTACACTGTGGGCTGTTGATATTGCTCAATTAGTAGAGTGCTCACTGGGCATGAAGAAGCTCTGGGTTTGACCCCTGCACTATGCTAAAACTTTGTGTGATAGTAGTGATTCTGTGATCCCTGCACTTGGGAGGTGGAGCACAAGACTCAGAAGGTTATCCGGAGTTCACAGACAACCTGGGTACATGAGACCTGTCTTGAGAAAAATTTGTAGCTGGGCATTCCTGCAGGCCAGAACAGGGCACCAGGTCTCACTACAGATGGTTATGAGCCACCATGTGGTTGCTGGGAATTGAACTCAGGACCTCTGGAAGGCCAGCTAGTGTTCTTAAACTCTGAGCCATCTTTCCAACCCGTAGCTGGGCATCATAATGCACACCTTTAGTTTCAGTGCTTGGAAAGTAAAGGCAGGTGGATCTCTGTGAGTTCCTGAACAGCTGGAGCTATGTAGATACACCCTGTGTCAAAAAACAAATTGTATCCTTCACTATGTATAACATGTGTCTCAGTAATGTTTGCATAGATCTTTTAAAATAGAAGCACTTCTTTCCTTCCTTTCTGTTTTCCTCTTCTTCCTCCTCCTTCCCCTTTCCCTCTTCTGTTCTTTTTTTAGACTAATCTTAATCTGCAGCCCAGACTGACAAGGAACTCAGAGTAATCCCCCTGCCTCAGCTTCCTGAGTACATCTGTTATAGTCATAAGCCACCACACCTAGCTTAAAAAGACAGTAGCACTCAAAATTGTTTCATATTGCAAGGGAGAAATTTAGGATTTGATATTTTCTGAAAAAATTATTTGTCCGTAGCCTTAGGGGAAGTAAAGATACTAAAGTTCCTTTTTAACCACTTATTTAAAAAAAAAAAACAAACCTAAAACTGTTAAAAGCCCGAAACTGTTGTATTTCTGCATAGTTGGTGCATACTGGTTTGTGGTGCTGCTAAGTGCCGATCATAGGTAGCACTTATTTTGACACTCACAACAGGACTGGCTTTTATTCGTGTAGCTTCAGGATATGGGAGAAGGGTTTGTTTTCTGGGTATTCCTGACTTGAGCTGTCTTTCCAGTGTTGTGAAAGTTCTTTCTTTGCGGAAAGCCCAAGCACAGAGCATCCTTGAAGTCCTGAGGATAATTCAGTATTGTACAGAATCCCTTGGGCAGCCTCACTGCTTCCATCCACCGTATATACTTTTCCTACTGGAACTTCTGACCTGCCAGAAAGATTTTACAAAGTAAGTACCAGAAAACCAGCGGAAGCTATTTTACAGAAATCCTAATTGGCCTCTGTATTGATGACTGTATAATTGCCGTATATGACACAAATTTACATTTTTGGTTCTCTGAAGAAAAAATAGCTTATAACCTTTTACCAAGAATATGATTATTCCTCTTATGACTTGATCTGCCTTACCTGACAGTAAGAATTGTGCTCTTTATGTGCCCACACTGCTGTGCCAGATTCCTTTCTAAGCATAATATATTCAAAAGTGATGTGGAGGACAAGAGAGAATATTCAAAATAAATAAGCGAGATAGTCTCTGATAATTATATAGTTTGTGGTGATTCCATGATGAGTGACACAGTTTGGGTAGTGAAGAAAAGTGTACCAAGGGAATGGCCTGTAAACTAAGAGATAAATGACTTGCTGAGTCTTGGCATTTTATATTGAGTTGCAGGTGGGAAGCCTTGAGATTGTGAAGCCCAGTAAGAGGAGCACAAATGGTTTGCATTTATGAAAGATGCGTCTGGCTGCTCTGTGAGAACATGGGAAAATCAGAAAAGCAGTTAGGAGATTGTTGGAATAATGCAGGCAAGAGAGGATGGTTTAGACCAGGGAGAAGTTTAAGAGATGGAGAAAAGGGGATGCATTCAGGATTTATTTGGGAGATGGAATTCTGTAAGACAAAGAAAGTGAATGAAAGATACTGGAAATATGTGGAAAAAAACCTCTTAGGATTGTGTTTGGAGCAGTTGTGTGGATTATTTCACATTTCACTGAGAGACGGGATCTGAAAGACACAGATGGGGACAAAACTTTAAATTTTGTTTGCTCAATATGTTTGAACTATTTATCTTTTTTATTATTATTATTATTATTATTATTATTATACACAGTGTTTCTCTGTGTAACAAACAGTCCTGGCTGTCCTGGAAGTCATTTTGTAGAAATCTACCTTCCTCTGCCTCCTGAGTGCTGGGATTAAAGGCGTACATTACTGTGGCCTTATTTTTTTTTTATTTTATGTGTCTGGGTGTTTTGTATGTATGTATGTATGTATGACTGTGCACCCCTGACCCCAACCTCCATTTGCATGCCTGATGCCTTGGAGGTCAGAATAGAACATTGGATCTCTTTGAATAAGACTTGTGGAACTGGAGTAAAATATCATGTGGGTGCATGAAATTGAACATGTGTCCTTAACTGCTAAACCTTCTCTCCATTCTCTGTTTTAACTGTTTCTTTGGTACTCAAATGAAGATAAGAAGATGAGGATCAGAATCTAAAGTACTGGGAATAAGTCAGGACTAGGGATGAAATTTGTTTATCACGAACACTCAGATGATAGTTAAGCCATGGACCAGATGAAGCCTAGACAGGCAGTGGCTCAGAACTGAACTTTGATTTAGGCGTCAAAAGAAAGAAGAGTCAGCTAAGAGCATCAAGGTGGAGAGTGACCTATGGGATAGATTGACAGCCTGTAGGTGGTGGTGTCATAAAAGCCAAGAGAAGACTGTGTCAGTTGGGTTGGATGCTTTGTTTGATAAGCAACAAGAGATTAGTAGTTGTCACCTTTATACTTCTGCTGAACTGCTCTCTTGACCCAACTGGACTTCCACTCAAAAATCATGTCCCTGTTTTTACTCCAGTCTTTGGGCTGCTTTGTCTAACTGCTTGGCTATTTTGTGTGTGGGATAAAGATTAATAAGTCAAAGTTGTCCTGGATATTAAGCTGGTGGTTTTCTCTGTTTCTAGTTACTTTGGACACTTGGAAGGCTGTGGTGCGGATCTACACAAAGAAATCCGAGACACCTACTATCAACTTGTACTGTTTTTGGTCAAAGCGATCAAAGGATTTAATAGCTTAAATGACAGGTACTAGATTGCCTTTACATTTTGTTTTTGAAAATCTAAGAGTTTATGGCCTGTTATCTTCAGTGTTGATATATTATGTGAAGATTAAAACTTGAGTACAAGCAGATTCTTGTCTCTTCTATACTAAGGTGTTCAGACATAACCCTTAAATCAGATGGTTCTTCTGTAACTGTCTAACATTAGCTAATTTGGGATTGCCCTAATATTGCCACTCATCAGTGCATGACTTCACTCCTTATTCCCTCACGGTAAGGTGCTCCAAACTCACTTTCCACCTTTCAGAATTGTTGCATTCTTTTGTTATTTTGGCTTTTTTAAGCTTCAAAGGATATTTGTGTAGAATCCTTCCTTAAAAATTAGTACCAAGCCGGGCGGTGGTGGCGCACGCCTTTAATCCCAGCACTCGGGAGGGAGAGGCAGGCGGATCTCTGTGAGTTCGAGGCAGGACTGGACTGATAGCCTCCAAAACAATACAGAGAAACCCTGTCTCGTAAAAACCAAAAAAAAAAAAAAAAAAAAAAATAGTACCAAATCAGGCTACCAACTTCACTGTCCTTGTTGGCAGTGGGCAACTTTGAGAATTGTCACCTGTGTGATCTCTTTAGGTCTCTGCTTCCTGCTTTATCCTGTGTTCAGACAGCTCTGCTTCATCTTTTGGATATGGGCTGGGAACCCAGTGATCTTGCCTTCTTTGTTGACATTCAATTACCAGATCTCCTCATGAACATGTCACAAGAAAATATCAGCATCCATGACAGTGTGATCAGGTAAGAGCAGAGTCCTGCCCTTTACTCTTCTTAGAATAAGGGTATGGGTAGAGTTGGGGCAAGGGAATGGGCTTGGCAGCTAGTCTATAATACATCCTGGCTTTATCACAAGTGACCTGGGGAATGTGGCAAGTTTTTTTTAACCTGTGGAATTGGATAATCCTTTAAAAAAACACATTTGTATGCTGTTAGCCTCTGTAGTGTCCTGCACATTGTAATGACTTAGATTATAATAAAAAAAATAGTATACAAAACTTTCTGGCAGGGGAGACACCATAATTGAGGGGGTGATTTTCCCAGGGTGAGGCTCAACCATGACTTTTGAGATATACTGACCCATGATGCTATTTCCCCAAACATAGAAAAATGACTGTAGAATTTGTGATAATAGGGGACTGTGTTTATACTCTCCCCTACATTTTTTGGGAGTTTATTGAGACAATATTTTAATATAGATTTTAGACATGGGTATTAAGAGAGTGGGACTTGGAAAAGGACACTATCATATGTCTCTGAGTAGATATGGGTGTCTCAAGAGGGATGGGCTTCATTTCACTTTGACCTATGTATGTGCTCAAGCCCAGTTACCATTCATGACTTTGTATGGAGAGAAGAGAAACAGAGATGTTAAGAGGAGAATTGGGACATAACAGAATGAGACAACACTCACTGTTTTCACTCTCAAAAGAGATGTTCTGAGAAGGCAGAGGGTAATTAAAGCTCCCTCCTTGCGCCAGTGAGGTAGCTTCACAAATAAAGTTGTCTCTATCCCTTGACCCGCTGTTAGAGAGCAGATGGGGGACACAGCACTAACTGAAGAATCAGCTGTCAGTCGGCCCAATGTTTCAAGCTTTTCAAGCTCCCGACCCCTTCCTCATGCTGATTGCGTTGGGCTCTTCTAACCATGTCCACACAGAATTTGTCATGTTCAATTCAGGCTGGTCTCAGACATTCTATATAACCAAGAATTTCCTCTGATCCTCATGCCTAGGATTACAAGTGTGTGTTGTTGATGACATACATGCTGGAGGTTTCTTATCTTCTACCAACCAGGCTACATCCTCAGCCCAAACTTTATTATTGTTGTTGTTGTTATTAAGACAAGGTCTCACTGTATAGCCCTAGCTGACTTGGAACTCCCTGTATAGTTCAGGTTGGCCTCTTAATTCACAGAGATCCACCTGCCTCTGCCTCTGCCTCTGCTTCTGCCTTCTGAGCATGTGCCACTGTTCCCGACTTAACTTTTTAAATCATCATATTTGACTCCAGTACCTGGCACATGATAGACTTGCCCTACTCAGTGTAGTCTGCTCAAGGAGGGGTTTATTTATTTATTTAGGTTTTTTTTAGCATAAATCTATCAAATAGTGGATAAACTTTGAGGCTTTGAAAAGTAATTCCCATCATTTCAAAATGCCCAGTTAAACTTATAGGACATGCCATCTGCACTTCTTTGGCTATTGTAAGAAGCATGCTTTTCTCTCATTACATCCTACTTTCAGCCAGTGGAGTGAAGAAGATGAACTCGCCGATGCCAAGCAGAACTCAGAATGGATGGATGAGTGTCAGGATGGCATGTTTGAGGCCTGGTATGAAAAAATAGCTCAAGAGGATCCAGAGAAGCAGAGGAAAGTAAGACCTCTCAGCTAGAGCAATCTGGGTGACTTGCTAGGAAATTAGAGAAGAGGGTGTCGCTGGGGTGCACTTGGATAATGTCTCCCAGAGGGCTTCTGGGAACATTCAGGACCAATGTCTGGTCTTCATCTGGATGTGATCCACCACTGTGGCTTACATCCATAGAACTAAGCTCACAGCAGAGTGTCTAGTAAGGTTGATGTATATTATTAGATGCCAGGATATTAATTTAGTGAGAAATTGAATTGTTTTGGGCTGGCATACTATCTTCCTGTAGGTAAGCACCATTCCAATTACAAGGTTGGCAATCAGGTGAGTTTTGAAGCAGCTCCTGTTTATCTTTGAGAGTTAGGTAGCCTATCTGTCTTTGTGTAAGGTGTCCCATCTGCCACTATTACATGTGTCAGGCATCTGTTGCCTTGAAGCCACTAATTCTCCCCATATTAAGTACCTTCTGTTCATTATAGTATGTACCTTTGTGGTGCTTATGAGGAACACTTCTCTCTTGTAAGTTCATGTCTGAAGGAGAGCATCCTGTAGTGCTCAGGTGACCTGGCAGATTTCCTCTTCAACAGCGAACCATCTACTACCAAACAGTGATTTTCTGACTTGGTTTCTTCATATGCAGACTCTAAAATAAACTGCCAAGTACTTTCTAGTAACCCGATAGCTTGTTCATGTAACAGTCCTTTACAATCTGCTCCCAGGAAGGAAATTAGCTAAGTAATAGAAAGTCTGTTGGCTAGTTGTGTGACTAACTAGCTAGTTAGTTAAACAAGAAAGACTTATATGGTCTGAAGAGAAACCAGAGTATTGTTTGTCTGTTTGATTATAGAGAGGTCCAAGCTGGCCCGAAGTTGCAACCCTCCTGCCTCAGTCTCCTGAGTGCTGGAGTTATGAGGAAGCACCACCGTGCCCTGCTGCTTTAATGTGCCAGAATCAAAAGTCTTCTTTTGATGTTTGTTCGTACTGCCATTTTCTAAAAACTACCCAGCCAAACATGTGGATGTCATTCTTGATAGTCCCTTTATTAATTTGGTCACCAAGGCTTCTCAGTCTGCCTCCTTACTCAAATCTGCCTGCTTTCCCCATTCTTTGTATGTCTCAGTCCTTGCCCTTAGTACCACATGGAGTTACTTGAGCAGCTATATCATAGTCAGCTTCCCTGACCTTGGTCTTAGTAACCAGAGGAACCTTCAGAGTGCCCAAATCTATTACCATTACTTTTCTGTCTACAAGCGCTAGTTCCAGGACAGCCCCCAAAGCCACAGAGAAACACTAGCAGTTTAGGCTCCTTGAAGTTTACCTCTGACATCACCTGGGTATTCCTCCTCTGTACTATGCTATACATACTATATTATTGCCCATGTCAAAAGCTCTGGAGTGAGAGAGGTGATTTAGTGGTTAAGAGTACTCGCTGTTCTTCCAAAAGACACATGTTTGGTTCACAACCCCCATAACTCTAGCTCTAGGGAATTCAGTGCTTATGTCTGCAGGTAAACACCATGCGCATAATAAAAATACATCTTTTAAAAAAGCAAACCAAAAAACCCTTGTTTTTTTCTTTTCTTTCTGTTTTCCTATGCTTTGCACCTGTGAGGCCAGTGCTCACACACTCAACTACACACCCAGTCTGTGTTGTGCTCCCCTTTTTGCAGGAGCAAAGCTTTTGTAGACATTTCTGTCTGTCCACCTTTATCTCCATCCAGCTACCATCTGTTTGTCCTTGGTTTTAACTGAGGAATTGTCTTTGAAAAACCTTCCTTGATTGTCCTGATAACCTTGATAGTGTCCTTGTGTTCTCTAAGCTTCCTAACTTTGCCTGTTAAAACATTCCTCACAGTGTATGTCTACCATCTGTTTGTTTGAGGGAATTCCCAAATGGGTACTTGCTTATCCAGCTTCAAATCCTAGCACCTGGTACAAAGCTTGAGTGACCTTAGGTACCTATTGAGTGAATGAATCGATTAATGAACAGTGCCACAATAGAAAGTCTGTTGGCTAATTGTGTTCATTTTACCTTACAGATGCACATGTTTATTGCTCGATACTGTGACCTGTTAAATGTGGACATCTCTTGTGATGGATGTGATGAGATTGCCCCCTGGCATCGCTACCGGTGTCTGCAGTGCAGTGACATGGACCTCTGCAAGACTTGCTTTCTTGGTAAGCTTCCAGGGGAATCCATGTCCACAAGTAGCAGTTGTTTCTGCTTTCTGTGCCTCTTTTTTTAACTTCCTCTTACTTTGCTATCTTTTTTTAAAACCTTTTTTTTTTTTTTGCTGTTTTTTTGTTTTTTGAGACAGGGTTTCTCTGTATTATTTTGGAGGCTGTCCTGGAACTTGCTCTGTAGATCAGGCTGACCTTGAACTCACAGAGATCCACCTGCCTCTGCCTCCCGAGTGCTGGGATTAAAGGCATGCACCACCAACGCCCGGCTTTTGTTTGTTTCAGATCAGCTATTTTTGTGAGCATTTTCTGGTATCCATGTTTGATAAAAAAAATTGATTTTTGATGTAACTGAAATATATTGGTGCTGGTGTTGGCACTGGTACCATACAAGGAAGGTGATGTAACTACCATTGCTCCTACTTTTCCCCTATGGTACTCGGCATATGATGCACCTCAGTTGTGTTATTCAGATAGGAGACAACATTCATGTTGACTGTTTTCTAATTGTTTCTAATATCAGGAGTAGGTAATTTTCCAGTTAAATAATGTTTTATTTGTAAATTATAATCTGAAAAGTGCCACTTTTCCAAGGTCTTTCACTTAAGTGTATGTGTATGATCTACTTTTTTGATTGATTTTTGCTTGTTTGGGTTTAGACAGAATATTTTTAGGAAATTTTGGAAATATAGCAGCACCCTACAGGGAAGCCTTGTGGAGGAGATAGGGTAATAATTGTCTTTGAAGAAAGTTTGAACTGGATCACATTACAAAACTCTGAAGATAGCATTACCATCAAGAGCAGAACAAGCTCAGGGACAGGAATGAGTGCTTTCAGTTGAGTTTAGATAGATACACTCCAGTTTTTGTCTAGTTAAGTGATGGACTAAGACAGATAGGGTCCAGGTTGTGGGACTCTTGAGATGCTAGGCTAAGGAATTTGAAGACAGTAGGAAGATTTATAGCTAAGATGTTACTGTGATCAAAGATGTGCTCAGGGAAGACTGTCTGTGTCATTCTGCTTTAGGAGACTCTAGTCACAGGATGTTTGGGCCTAGACCAGGTTCACAGCACTGGGAACAGAAGTGGCCAGCTGTGAGGAGTATTGAACAGGGACTTACAGAGAGAGATATCATAGTAGCCTGTCTTGTTCATGTCTGTCATTCTCTTATCCATCTGATTCTGAAGTCTCTTTCCACCTATAATTTTTCAGTGACAAATAAGAACAGAAATTTGATCCCTGGTGTTCTCCATAGGAGCATGCTAGTGGTGTGTAACTTCTGTCAGAGAGGGGTTTGGGAGATACCTCACAAAGTACATGGGCCTGTTTCTCCCAAATAACAGTCATAGTAGAAATTTGGCATGTATTTGATCTGACTGTGATACTGTAGAATGGGCATCAGATCAGTCAGCTGAACCATTGCCAAAGATTCCATGCTAGGATATCATTGATATGCTCATAGCTATGAGGACATTCTGGTATTCCAAAGAACCCCTGCCTTCTGGAGTAGTAAATGAGAAATGGCTCTGGTTCTGTGATCAGTTTGCTGCAGTTTGGGAGACCCTCTACCCCATCCACCTCATACTTCTGGGTTTTTTACAGGTGGAGTGA